TTAATTCCCAAGAGTTAGCAAGGCTAGGCCACAAAAACCATCCTAGAAGGTGACACTATCAGACCATAGGTTGAAAGATCTGTAACAATTAAAGCATGTTCTCACTAGAGCCTGGAATGGAGAACCAGACGAGTCTGAGTCCTGGTTTTCCTCACTGTCATCAAGTCTTCTCAGAACCCACAACGAAAGACGTGCCTGTCTCTCTTCTCACAACTGACCCCTGCTTCACTCAGTCTGCAAGATAAACTGTACTATAGGAATCAATCTGAGTTGTGTAGCTAAGAAAGGATGCTGCTTAGAACAATGAAGAAGACACACCATAGCTGAGAGACTACTCTAATGAATATACGTGAGCAGGTCAAATCAAGGTCACATACACACATTTAATTTTGATATTTCTTCACGCTAAGTGCTTGACCTGACAAATACATCTATTTAAAATACAGTTTGCATATGTAGGTAATTTATAGATGTAACTGTCAATTACACACACATACTTACCATAAACCTCTCTAGGCATCTCATTTTCTATTACGGGCTATTACTACTGACAACTTTGTATTCATACAAAGTGAAGGGAGTAGGCAGTGAGCATTTGTCAGCAGGAGACTGCTTCAGTCTCAAGTGTATGGTTGGTGTTTAAAAAGGAAAAATGAAAGAATAGTTGACTGTGAGAGCTGCACGCACCCCATGGCTTACAAAGCTAGCGTACCGCTAGACTAAACTCTGATTTGGGGAGAGAGAATTTCAAGAGGATTACTTCATCCTTGTCACCCCTAGATCCCTGAAGAAATGAGCAGAGGTCGGAACTCGTACACGGAGCAAGACCTGCGGCCCCTCAGCCTGGAGGAGCTCAGGGGCAGTAGCAGCACAGAGCCCTCCGACTACCACTGCTACCTCCAGGACTGCATGGATGACTTACTCAAAGAGATGAAGGAGAAATTTAAAGGCTGGCTCAGCTGTTCCACCTCAGAACAAGCAGAACTGGCCTACAAGAAGGTATGCACACTATGTCTTACTCCGTAGCTCTGTTTCTTAGCCCATCTTCTTTAGCACAAGCCACCCTTTGATGCAGAATATTGCAGAAGGTTCAGAGTATAGCTGCACTTCATCTAAAAACATGTCTTTCAGCAGTGAATTGTGTTCTTCTGTTTATCCAGCCCAAGAATGTTCAATGTAATGCATTTACAGGCCTTCCTTCATTCACTTGTGCAAAGCCCTAACAGGCTGAATAAAGCCTCTAAGCACTTTCCTTACGCAGGCAGCAGGAAAGAAGCAACTTGCACAGCTTGGAGCTAGCACAGGGAGGAGTGTTTCAGCAACATTTGAGTTAAGATAACAAAAAAATAGACGTGGAAAATGAGGACGTTTTCCTGTAATATTATGATTCAGTAGTGGTCCATACTGGGAAAGATAACTATAACTTAAAATTAATTTGGAAGTCAGCATGCAGATGCCTTTAGACTATTAAAAAAGCCAAACAACCTCAGTGTGAACATATGACAGCCGTAGTGCAATGTAATTCTTCTTGTAATTTGCTGTGTTTCTCCAACACTAAAATAGAAAGGAGAAGAAAGTGTAAAGAACAGTGAAACTGAGGACTCTGTGCTGATTTTTCCTCAGGTATGCGAAGGTCCCCCACTCCGGTTATGGAAAACTACCATTGAAATCCCCGCTACACCAGAGGAAGTTTTAAATCGTTTACTTAAAGAGCAGCATCTTTGGGATGAAGATCTGATAGATTCTAAAGTAATTGAAACTTTGGATAGCCAGACAGATATATACCAGTACATCCAGAACAGTATGGCACCTCACCCAGCCAGAGACTTTGTCGTCTTGAGGTAAATTTTCACATACAATTGTCTTAATTGTCTTAACATCGCACACGCTAACCTCACCTATAGAATTTATGTAGTAAAGGATGTTATATAGACATACATCTTTTTATGTATGATTTGAAGTTTATTAGATGTTTGAATTACTGTTTATCAAAGACAAAACCACTTTTTTTCTTTTTCTTTTCTTTCTTTTTTTTTTTTTTTTTTTTTTTTGCTTCATAGAACATGGAGAACAAACTTCCCGAAAGGAGCTTGTGTTCTCTTAGCAACCTCAGTGGATTATGACCATGCTCCAGTGGCAGGGGTTAGAGTCAATGTGCTGTTGTCTAGGTATCTGATTGAGCCCTGCGGGTCAGGAAAATCTAAACTTACCTACATGTGCAGAATTGATTTAAGGTATGGACTTCTACTTCTCAGGTGGTAATCTTTTCTGTCCTTTTCTGGTGGTAATTTCTCTTGTATAGTTTTGGTGCAGTCAGTGCAAAATTCAAACAGTCCAACTGTCCAGTACATATTTCTCAAATGCTTATACAGAGGACTCTTGAGATGTCACAGAAGGTCAGCTTCCACGCACATCTAACAGCAGGTTCAGTTTGTTGCATTGGAAGCCCCCACTATGTGCTCTGTCTCTCACAAAACAGGAAACATCAGTTTCACCTCTTCTTGTGTCTTACTGTGGTTAGGTTATATGGTCTGTGGCAGAGAGAAGAGAACCTTCAAAGTTACTGAATAATGGCCACTATAGCTACTGGTGTATATAATCCCCTCCCATTTCCTCTGCCAGGGGTATTTATTTGTATGCAGACACATATGAATTTTACGTTAATAATGGAGACTAAGTTCTCACAAAACTTTTAATACCTTTGTCTCACTTAAGCAAACTTGGTTTTGAGCAAGTCTGTGTATCAATAAGGCTGGGCCGAGCAATAAGCACTAAAAAGGAGATTTCCCAGTCAGACATCTAACCAGCCAGCTATCTGTTTGATTCTGACTAAGGAAGCACGTGGAATGTTACTGGTACCTGTTTCACATTCACTTTTTCTCCATGCATCAGGGGCCACACGCCAGACTGGTACACCAAGTCTTTTGGACACTTGTGCGCATCTGAGGTAGTTAAGATACGAGACTCTTTCAGTCATCAGAGTCTTGACAGCAAAGAAGTAAGATCCAGGTGACTACTGAAGAGGAACAGCTGTGCGTTCCACACCTCATCAATGTATGTTACCCGAAACTGAGGATCATCCGCTGCAGCCTGGACTAGTGTGCAACCTACAAGTCATGTCATGAAAGGATGACAGTGTAAGAATTTGACTGTGAGCGTTACTATAGGACTGTGGCCATACCATACAATTTAAAGCTGCTTCCTGTCTGTGTAAGGTCTATAGTGTAGGCCTTGACTGGAATACATAGGAGGACTGTGCAAAAAAGGTATTGTACTGTTAGATGGTTTGAATTGCTTCTGAGAAGCAAAAGTCTTTAAATGCAAAATATATTATGAAATATGGTGAAGGCTCATCATTCCCATGTGAAATATTTAGCTTTATGTACATACCCTTGTCATTTTATTTGTAATGCGTTGAGGGACTGGTGTATCCACTGGAATAGTTGGTACTCTTCAATGTGTTCTCACTGAGATAAGCAGAGAAAGGTTTGCACAGAGATTAAAGTGTGAATGAGTGTGTTGATGGTTGAAAGGATAGCAGAAGTCGAACTTGAAATGTGTCTGGTACACTGATAGGCAACCAGAATGGATTTTAGCGTATTGGTTACAGTTCAACCTAGAATTTGACTCCCCTGTGGACCAGAAAGTAGCCATCCTTCCCATTTCCCAGTTCTACGTTTTCCTCAGCTCTAATATTGTTAAAATCTCTACAAAGATATAATAATAATAGACTTGCTCTGATTACTGCTCACTCTTTAGCCAGATGATCTTTTTAGGAGTGATTAGCAATTGTATAGCAATTTTAAGTAAATATAATTTTAAGCAGCATAGCAGCTTAGACCTGAAATGCCTTTGCAGTGGTCAAGAGAGTCAGTAACGTCAATTGTTGTATTTCCTAAAAAAGTATTTGTTGCATTTACTCCTAACTGCATTAACTATATGTGTTTTAATGAACTTTTGTATATTTTACTGTATTCTCATGGCTCAAGAGGAAAAAGTAAACACTGGAGTTCTTGGCGGGACTCCTACAGAAGCAGATGGAGTAAGGTGACTAGGAAGATCATGACAGTTCTCTCTCTTTCTCCTTTGCTTGTTTTTCTAAAAGCTACATGTTAACGTGAACAGAACCTGAATATGAGCAATATGGAGGGCTTTATTTGGGGGCAGAGAGAAGGGTGGGATTTTGTCTTCTGTATTGTTTGTTTTTAAACCTTTTGGGATATGCCCCATTCCCCCAGCAGTAATATTATATGAACTGTAGGAAATCTTGAGGTCCTCTGGAAAGGTGTCTTTCTGCAGGTTTTACTGTAAAGATAGGGATTTGCTTTAGAGGTGCAGTATTAAGTGCTAAGTGTATTTCGTGGCTAAGGTATGAATGAGTTGCAAGATGGAAATTTGACTGAGACATTGTTGCCATTGTCAGTATTATTTTAAGCTTTTTGATGAAGTTTTTTTTTTATTATTATTATTATGGCAAATAATGTAGTACTTCCAGTAACAGTGTTCCTCATGAGTAGGAAAAACTTGTATATTCTTTTACATCAAACATTTTTGGATTTGTAAAATTGTATGTTGTACATACCATTCTATTGTAAACATGTATACTTGCCCACAGTGTACTGTCAAACATAGATAAAGCATGGTAAAGATTATTTAAAATATACCTGTATTTATACCTCAGATATTCTTTTTGGGTTTTTGTACCTCAAGTAAGTTTTCTATTGTAAATGTGCTTTACATGACTATGGTCTAAGTGAGAGAAAGGAAAATGTTTAACTTGCTATATATGTCTGTACAGAATATAATCAATAAGTGCACTATTAAATGTTTAAAATTGGAGAAGTGTAATGTGTTTATTTATTCTGCATTCTTCCTTCTACTGTCGAGTCCACAGTCTGTTCCCTGAGAGGTGAGCAAAGCTAGCTCTGCTGCTGATTTCTCTAGACATATTTGGGACTCTTGACTGCTTGCGATGGCCCAGATTGAAAGCGTGCAAAGAGAAATTCACATTGATGGGAGTAAGTCTCAGATGGTATAAGATCCCTTTACTACTTCAAGATTTTTCCTGGTGACAGGTTAAAGGGAAGTCTTTCCTCAACAAAACTTGTTTGGGACAGGCTTTGCTATCTTCATATACCTAAGTTGACCTACACAATCCTAACTTATCCTGGTCTGCTTCTTCCCACAACAGGCCTTCTGTATTTAATGAGCTGTAGATACCAGGGTACAGCTGCAGCTGATTCATTAACAAGGCTAGTGAAGTAGCTCAAAAACATTTAAAAAGTAGCAGTCAGTAACTAAAGATATTGGTTTTCTAAGAGAAGAGATGAATGAGGAAGATTAATTTTGAATAGGTCCGTTCTGGGATAGGCCAGGCTAGCATGGTTAAGAATAGCACTTGCCACAGGTTTTTTTACATATTGCTACCACCCTTTTTAGCTCGCCTACCATCTCCTAGGCCACTCTTTATGATTTTTAAAGTTAGGTGCCGAAGCAATTTCAAAATTTTCAGAAGGCTAGCCTTCATGATGGTAGGCAGTTGGACAGAAATGCTCCCCAATTAATAGCTTCCTGTTCCCCTTTAAAAGAAAACAGAAACATCAGTTTTGCTACTGTTTCGTTGAAAGGTACTGTTGAGTTTAACAGGAAATCAAGTCCTATTTGATAGACAGTTCTGTGCAATGCTGAAAAATAATTCACTGCTTTCCTATTTTCTGCAGGGAGAAAGAGAGTATGAAGAGTTCTGGAATCATAAGGTCTCTTTTTAAAAAAAAAAAAAAAAATTACGTGTGAAAGTAATTGGAGAAAGTTAAAGCATACACAGCAATGAAGTGAAGCCAAAGAGGAGGCCAGGAGGATATACAAACAACTGACTAAGGTGAAAAATGAAGCCAAAGACAGCTGTTAATTCGAGCAACTTTAAGAAGTGTTTAAAGTCTTAGCCAACAGAAATAGAATTTGGGCATCTGAAAGAGCATTTTGATTTGCAAGGCTTTTCTGACAGGCAGTAGCCAAAACTAGACTTTTTTGCCTTCCAGTTAGGAGGATCATCATACTCTTTCTCCACCTGAGCATCGTGAAGTCCTGATCCCTATCAGGTTCTGTTGCTTTCTCTGGGAGGAAGCCAGAACCTGGCAAAAATGAACCTCTTGTTGCTGTAGAACCAGTTCTCTCACACTAAAGAGTCTTTTAGAGAACCTTTCTGATAAGAGCCTAATTTGTTTGGCTCTTTATCAGTGTTTTTTTTTTCCCCACCCTGAGTTTAATACTAAAAGATAAAATATCTTCATGATTAAAAAGCTGCCAGGTTTGGTCACAGTTTTGGGCCCTGGTAACAAAACAGAATTAGAGGTAATTTTTCTTCTCTTTAATGATGATTTTGTTTGGATTTTTGAGAACATTACTGCACTACACACTCCTCGGACACTTCAAGGCTTTACTCTTGTTTAAAATGTATTTAGGTTACTTTCAAATCAGCTTTTTTTCTAAATACTTCTAAAATGGAAGTTAATTTTCGTTCATAAAAATAAGTACAAGCTTGTTTTCTTGGCTTCTTCGTTTGCAGGTGTCCATGTTGTAGCTGGACAGTACAATTCAAATTTAAGTTTTGTGTCTGTGTTTCTTATCAGCAGTCACTCACTGCAGAGCTAGCTCTTGCTCAGACGACCCCTTGCTTTAGGTAGTTCTTGCTGAACAGGGAGTGAAGACAGCGTCCCAGTTCAATCCTGACAACTTGCTATATAGCTAACGGCATGCATGGCTTCTCTAACACAGCATGAATCCAGCCTGCTGCATGCTTAAGTAATGCTGAAATGCAGTACTGCCTTCTAGCAAATTCAAATGGAAAAAGTCATCTTTTACTGTCATTCCTTAAGTATTACACTCCACAGTATTTAGATATTTATAAAGCCATAAATAATCAGTGGCCTTCATCTTAAAGGCCAGAAGGCAATGTCACTAGCTAACACTGTCAGGCTAGAAAAGGGAGACTGACTTAGAAACAATTGAAAACAGTACCTCTGCAGTTTGGTGTAAGACCTTGGAAAGAACAAGAACTAGTAGACAGCCACATGATTCTGTGCCAGGAGGTAGTTGATAGGAAAATACTGTTCGTGACTCAGGCTACATAATGGCAGGTAGATATTTCCACTTAAGACATACAGATAATAAGTGTTATACACTGCTCTTCCCACTAAGTGCTAGAAGCGGTGCCCTACAATGGTAGGGAGTGAAATCAAAATAATGGTTTAGTTTTACAATACATTAAATTTGCAAACACAAAATGCTTATTTATTTGGCTCTGTTATACCAGTAACTGTCAATTCAGCTGTTTACTGCAGCCATTATACAAGGAGACACTGAACACCTCTGAAAAATAATTTTCAGGTATTTCTCATTTGTCAGCTCTGAGCTGTTTTGTTTCTCTAGCAAGAAAAATTATCAACATCTAAAATGAGGACTGAAATAATACTGAAGGTGAACATGCAATGCTATTTTTTATTATTAATGCTAGAACACAGCTGTTGTAAATATGTGTTTTACATTGAGCACTATGGCAGACACTTGAGGCTTGCTTACTCGCTCCTCCTCTCCCCATCCTACTAGATTTTTCTGTATTGCCTGAGGCTTCCTGAGTGCTCTCAAGAAATGAATCTCCAGACTGAGGCTATAGACTGTAAAGAGTGGTGAGGATGGGGAAAAATTCAAAGAAGGAAAAAGTTCCAGCAAAAGAGATTAAGGCATTGAAGGGATGCATTTATATAGAAAGATTCAATACACATAATCTGGCCACTAGACAAGAGGCATGTAGTAAATGTCTGTTAGCACTGGAAGGTCATAAAAACACAGAAGAAGAGTTCAAACAGGCTGTGTGGGTGTACAGTTTGGGATAAAAAAATTGTTAATGGAAAATTTGAGGCAGAAGGAAAGGAAAAGACATTTTTTCCACACAGCAAGAGGTCTCTGAGGCTGTGGGACAATTTCTCCATGAGAAGCAGCAAGAGCGTAAGTCATTTAAAATTGCACTGGTTAAAAACTTGAAATCATTCCTGCATGAGCTTCAGTAAAACAAAATGATGATCTAAAAGAGAGCCACTCTTCCTCTTTTGATGTGATTACAGGATTTACAGGCCTCTAGTTTTCACCTGTAAGGAAGTGCCAGGTAAACTTGCCTTGCCTAGTAAGAAACAATTTGGCATCAGAAGTAAATGCTACCAGTAGGTAACCTTTTTTTTTTTTAAATTGCTACTAAGTCATTCTCCAAGAATTATATTGCGAGTTGTGGTGTGAGCAGTTTGCTTATGTTTTGCAGAAGTGGGCATTTGTTTAAATGAGAAGATACACTGCCTCCATGCTGTGGGTGAAGAACATGAAGATCGACATGGGGAGGTTACCTGAGTATTGGGAGCGTCTTTTGCTTTTCTAACAAACATTTGCTCAAAACCCAGCCCATTTAGGAAAACATGTTACTATGGTTTGTTTGTATCCTCTAAAGGCTGGAGAGCTAAATGTCTTTCTTCGACAGCTCACACTGAGTCACATATGCAGTAGGTGCCATCTCAATCTGGTTTAATCTAGGCTTAACAGGAGTTTCCCTGGCACTGTCAGCTCAGTGGTACGGTGCACACACAGCAACTGGAAACAGAGAGTCTCTCCTCACCATCTCTCTTTTCACCCTACTAGAGCCTGGCAGTGAGGGAGAGAAGATGTGAAAGAGGCACAATGAGTGCAGGGAGAAGAACCAAGAGCAGGAGCTGAGAATGGACACAAGAAGATATATAAACTAATAAGAACAATTTACCTACAATATCTGGAATTAAATCCATTATTCTTTAGGCTCAACCTTTTCTTGTTTCCAGAAAGAACAGAAGCAGCCTAATAGCAAGCATGTTGCATGTGCTCTTCAGGTACCAATCTTCTACTAGTCACTTGATTAACACGAGGAATAAAAGGGTGGTGTGGTGGGTCTGAACATCACAGTAGCTACTGACTCCTGCAGTCATTTCTCAAAACTTTGTTACAGTAAAAACAGGAAAGTCGTCTAGGAACAGACTTCTCAGGGCAATCCTCATGTCAAAAGAATATGACTATTTCAAAAATCAAATATTCAAAGGTAGTATATTAAAAATGCCAGTACAATTGAATTACGTTGGGCATGTGCTCCATGGAGCTAAACTTCCATGATACGACAGCCAGCTTGCACAATGCACTGAGATAAGCCTGTTTTAAACATGAATTCGGGACTGTATAGCAAAGATGTCTCCGGTTTGAGGGAGCTTATGCCTCCTTTATTAGAGAAGTTAGAAGCACATAAAATGGGAATTTCAAGAAAGGATGGCCTTGCGATTGTCACTTGAATGTTGCTCGGGAGAACTGATGTCTTTAAAATAAGCCAGCTAGTAGCAGGAGAAGCAGAGCATGGTCAGAACGTGGCCCGGAATAAGATGTTGACAGGTTGCGGGTAAGAGAGGAAAGCTGCTTCTAAGAGGAAGAAGAGGTCCCACTGGCAAAGCTTCCCACATTTCTAGCATCCCCATTAGTGGAACAGCAGTCAGGAATATCTATTCATAACCAGAGGGCACCTGGTCAGAATTCTCCTTTGTCTCAAAAAGCAGTTCAAAGACATTACATTTCAAGGCATTGCTGTAAGCGGGTTAAATCTGTAACCTTCGGCAAGACAGTAATTCAAGTTTATAGAAATACTGACAGTATGGTTAGCAAAGTTCCTATATGCCATTTTTTTTCCCCTACCACTAGGGAAAATTGCATGTAAGAGCACATTTTAAGTAGTTCATTTAAACATTTCAAGAGAATTGCTAAGACATTAAAATCTTTAAC